TGCTCAATACCCAAGGAAGAAGATGTATTGGGAAAAGAATAGAGACGTCTGTAATTCCTTAGTTTCTGGGGCACTTGCTAGCGATATGTTTGATTTTATAATGAGCGTTCTGCATATAGCCGATAATAATAATTTGGATCATTCTGATAAATTCAGTAAAGTTAGACCTCTCTTTAGGTTACTAAATCAAAATTTTTTAAAACATGCAGTTTTAGAAGAAAACCACAGTGTTGATGAAGCCATGGTTTCTTATTTCGGGCGTCACGGCTGTAAACAGTTTATAAAGGGTAAACCGATAAGATGGGGATATAAACTTTGGGTTGGATGTAACAAAAATGGGTACGTAACGTGGTTTAAGCCATACCAGGGAGCATCAACACACGTATCGCCTAAATACAAGGATTTTGGTGTCGGTGTAGGTGTGGTACTCAGTTATGTTGACATTCTTAGATCAAAGTGGGAGCTGAAAAAATTTCATTTATTTTTTGATAATTTTTTTAGTACAATGCCTTTATTTGAAATGCTGACAGAAAAAAATATCAGAGGAACAGGAAACATAAGAAGTAACAGAATACCAAAAAATCTGCTGAAATCGGCAAAGGAGTTACAAAAAGACAAAAGAGGTTCGTCCGATGCTAAGTTTGATGGTAATAAGAAATTGACAATTGTCAGCTGGCACGATAATAGTGTTGTATCGCTCTGCTCGAGCGCAGTTGGTACGAATTCTATTCATCAAGTAAAGCGATATTCGCGACAAGAAAAAAAAAACGATACTTGTTCCTCAACCATTTATGGTAAAATTATATAATCGAAATATGGGCGGCGTAGATCGATGCGATCAAAACGTAAGTTTATATAGAACTGGTATTAGAGGAAAAAAGTGGTACTTCTGTTTGTTTACTCACTGTATCGATTTGGCTATACAGAATGCTTGGCAACTACATCGAAGCAATCAGGGCACTTTGGATCAATTAGCTTTTCGACGACGCATTGCAACTTCACTTCTTCAGCTTTATACAAAAGCGACTTCATCTTCTTGTGGACGGCCAAGTCGAAGAGAAAATGCCGATTCTCGTTTCAATGGAATGCATCATTATGTGATTGATCAAGAAAAATAAACTAGATGTCGCTACTGCCATAAAAAAACAACTACAAGATGTCAAAAATGTGATGTTGGTATCCATGTACGCTGCTTTGTGAGTTACCACACAAATGGTAGTGCTTGATCCTGACGTCCTAGATGCAGGACGCTAATTTTTTTTGTGTACATTGCGATTTTTTGCAATATTATTACAGTAATGTATTCAGATGTTCCAAATAAAACATATTAATAACAAAAAATTGCAGTTTTAATACCATTTCTTATGTCAGGATTATTTGGGTTAATAAAAATGGAGGAAAGTTGTATATGTGATATTCAAATATTATCCCATCCTTTGCGCCATTCTGATATTAAAATTTAGCAGTATTATAAAATAATCCAGGCCATGAACATTTTTATTCAAAGTAAAAATTAAACAAATATTTCAAGCTTACGACATGGAAGGATGAAATTCGTATTCAACAAACACCTCATTAACTTCTGTAATCATTTACGAAAATAATTCACCGCCTGTGAAGAGACATAAAACTCGCCACTAATTGCTTGAACTTTTTTTAAGGCATAAAAAATGTATATCTTTTTTAGACAATTTAATCTTAAAATATTGAAGACGATTAACGAATTGTTTTTAAAGTATATTATTTCGATTTTTATTCATAAATTGTATGCCGAGACTGGCGATGTAGGTTTAAAGATTGAAAACGACGTTCCTGTAATATTCGATCAAATATTTATTTCACGTTGTTGGGAAGAGGGAGATTAGTAATGTATTATAAAGAATTTGACGTTTTGCAAGATATATTGACTACTGTTTTTTGAAATAATACGTTTCTATGCTTAAGAATGAGCATTTTATATCCAAAATTGACATTTTTATGTTTTTATATATGTATTATATGTAATGATAGCTATATTATTATTTTATTTATAAAATAAGAATTTATAAATATAAAACTTTGCTAAAAATAGCAGGAAAACGAAGTCGACGAAAAAAGGCTTCACGGTTAAAGCACTTGTGAAATTAGGATAGTATTGATACAACCATGCTATTTAAAGAAAAAAATTGTACAGGAATTGAAAGTGAAAAAACTAAAATAGCTGTAAATAGAAATTCCGATGTCCAAATACAACTTTGAGATAAAAAGAAATATCATCTAGCAAAGAGCAGTAAATAAATAGGTACAACGAAGAAACAATTAATAAAATTTGAAATCAAAAACTACACCATAAAGCCCAGAAATTAGAATTTTCACCTTCTCCTCGATTACAAATACAGGGAATATATTAATAAAATTACCCAAAGTTAAAAAAGAAAGGTATAACACCAGCTTTTAGAATAAACAACAACTTACAAAAATATATTAAAAACAACAAGACAGAGCTAAAATAAAAAGCACTTTCACAGTGCTTTTTATTTTAGCTTTTAGTGCTTTTCACAAACTTAAATGTAGAGACTGTCGAAAAACTTACAACCGCCAAACTGGTAGAACTTTTAACAAACGTATAGCAGAACATAAAATGGCTTTTAATAATAAAAAAAAAACAGATTCTACATAGGCAATTCACCTTCTAGATCATAATCATTTTTCAATAACGAATTTTAAATTCGTTACATCCAAAATAAAGGCCTTAGCTATCTTTTTTTATATAATACTAATACTATTTTTTATTTTATATTATAAAATTATTCGTAAACAAGCAGAATTTAGACTCAGAAAATGCTGCTACAGTCAAACTCTTAATCTCACCCAACAACTTCAACATATTGAAGATGGGTTTGAAAGGAAAGAACTAACAGGAGTAGCCTTCATAGACCTGACTGCTGCCTATGACACAGTTAATTATCAACAGCTGCAAAGGATTTCAATAAAGGGATCAAAAAAATGGACTCCCACAACAAAAAAACCAACAAACAGGATAGTTTATTTACGCGGATGATACAGCTGTGGCACCCCAGGGAAGTACCTTTAATGAAGTAGACGTAAAACTGGCAGATGCCCTAGAAGACTTAGCACTATACTATGACGACAACCATCTGAAGCTAAATCCTATAAAAACCTAGGTGTGTGCTTTCCACCTTAGAAACAAGCATGCGTGATGGGCACTCGAGGTGAAATGGCGTGGTCAGATGCTGGAATACAATAAGACGCCAAAATACCTCAGCCTACGTATAGATATAATTTTGTTTTATCGATATCACTGTCAAGATATCGAGAAAAAAGTAAGCCCCAGAAATAATATCATCCGCAAACTAACAAACATAAAATGGGGAGCACAACCACATACTCTTCGTACTTCTGCCTAGGTATCAGGTTGCCTGATCTGGTACAATACACATACCTGGTTTTCTGTGCGTTTATTTTTATTTCCATTCTTAGCGCAGACGCCCTTAATGATCTAATTGCTTCGATCAGAGATTCTGTGGACCTATCAATAATGTCTATGTCATCTGCATATCCAACCACCTGTACAGATTAATTAAAATTGGTACCATTCGTATTATTATGGCACTCTCGAATTATTTTTTCTAGTGCAAGGTTACATAAGAGACACGACAGTCCATCTTCCTGTCTCAGTCCATTTTTACAGTGGAATGGGCTTGAAAAGTCGTTTTAGATTCTAACAACATTCTCTACGCCTGTGAGTGTAAGTTCCGTTAGTTGAACAAGATGAGGCGGCATTTGGAATTCCACTATAACCTGTAGAAGTTTTTGTCTGTTGACTGAGTCGTATGCGGCTTTGAAATTCACGAATATGTGGTAGGTGTCGACTTCGAACACAAGCGCTTTCTCAAGAATCTGCCTGACTGTAAAGATTCGATCCGTAATCCACCATCATATCTCTTGTTTTGTGAAGAAGGTGCATTACTCCTAACTTCCAGTCTGCAGGCGTTTCCTTCCGTTTCCAGATTTCGTATACTAATTTATGCATTGTTTAAAAAGGGTACCACTACCATTTTTATAAAGTTCGGCAGAAAGGTGTCCAAACCAGGACATTTTTTAGTTTTGAAATGGCTTCTTCCATTTCTTTTTCGGTGGGGGGCGGCTATTAAGCGTTTTCATCCATTTCAGGCAAAGTAATTTCTATTTGGTCTTCTTCATGACTGTTGCTAAAGAATTTTTCAAAATGATTCTCCCACCTGTTTAGTATATGTTTTTTGTCACTAACTATGAAACCATCTCTGTCTTTACATGCTGTTTTTCTGAGTTTGAATTCTTTTTTACAGATGTTTATTTTCTGGTAGAATTTTCGCGAGTCTTTTCTATTGTGGTGGTTAACAATCTCGTTTAGAGTGTTTTCGTATGGCCTTTTCTTTTTCCTTCTAAACATTCTTTTTTCTGTGCTTGTCTAAGATTTTCAAAGTCTTCCAGGTTTAATCTCATTCTGTCCCGCTGAAGTCTCATATATGCTTTATTTTTCTGTTGGTTAATGGATCTTCATTCCTCGTCAAACCGATCTTAGTTTATTTTAGCCTGGTTAGGTTATAAAAAGCCTTTAGTCACTGTATGGATTTGGTTCAGTGTTCTTCTATAATTAAATTTTCTTAGATTCTTGTCAGCTCTTAATTTAAAATTGTTTGTCAAAGATTACTGTTCATATAAAACTCGTATATCCAAAATTAAACAGGTGAGAGCCCATTTTGATATCTACCCTAACATTTCTTCGTAGCATATTCTCAGGTATACGTAAATACTGTCACATAGTATTCGTATTTAAACTAGGTATTTCTCTTAAAAAGCACCTTATATAAAAATAATAAACCGTGTATTACCAAATAGAAAAAATTTAAGAGAATAAAATTTAAAATGATATTCATATTCAACATAAAATACCCTGCTGTTTTCACTTTATTGTGTTCTTTACCTACCGACTCTATAAAAATACATTTAATAAATACCTGACTCTTGGGCCCAATCAATTAAAGAAGGCACCCTCGAAGAGAAGCTCGAAAAACAGTTTTCAAAACGACCCCTAGCATCCAATCCCACGGTCTCGAAATTGGTTTTTACTCCACACATGAGGGCTGTCGCACACGCCGACGATTCACCTATTTGAGCATCCATGTTGAAAGTCTGAAAAGAAAATAAATGTAAATTTACAGAAATATATAGTTCTATTAAATATATAAATATTACAGTACATTTTTCGAGTTTAATGTAACTAAAACTTTAACGTGAAACATGTACAAGTAAACAACATAACTAGACTTAGGCAAATATTCAAATTGCATATTTTGCATAATGCATAAAAAATGCAAAAATGCCAAATTTTGCATAATTTCATAAAAGTGAGCATTTTTATTACATTTTTTTATATTCAATATTTAATTTTGTTTTTTAATCACTTGATATTCAAATTCTTGGTATAGTAACTAATAAAATACAGCGAATTATAGTTCTGTCACGTTTTGTCCTGGAATTAAGTGTTTGTGTTTGCCAGTTTACACTCTAGGTATTTTTTTTTTATTTTGACGGTCAGTTTCACTTGGTTTCAGTTTTTTTGTAAAATTGGAGGCGTAAATAACGTGTATTTCTAGTTGTGAATAATTATTGTGCTGTGAAAATGCCGAAAATAAGCAATGTTTCAACTTGGACAAAACCTTACAAAGAGATTGGATATGGATAAAGTGTATTGTTCATTTTGTGGCAAAACAGTAAGTACATACGTATTATTTTTTATTCTATTTTAAAAATTTACACGCTGGTACAAACAAAGATTTTAAAATTGGAGATTACGTTTGGAGACTATTCGTAGTCGGTGAATAACTGATTTTTCTTTCCTGTTTATAAAGGAGGTATTGACGCGAGATAAGTTGTGTTGAACGTCATGCAGCTTAGTTTTTGTGTCACTCCACAGGTCTGCCCATAAGCTAAGAATTTTTTGTTTTATCAATATTTTAAGATCCGTATGGATTTGTACCTCTTTGAAGGCTAAATTGTAAGAACATGCTGCTTTAGCGGCTTGGTCTGCTTTTTCATTTCCCAATATACCAACATGTGATGCAGTCCAGATCATTGACTTTTATGTTAGCAAAATATAGTTGGTTACAGATGGCGTGGATTTCCTGGACTAGTGGGTTTTTCGAGAAAATGCATCTTATGGAATGAATCGAGAAAACAGAATCAGTAAAAATGGCGATTTTTATGCTTTAATTTGAAGTTGGATGGAAAAAAGTCTTTAATGCTTGGAGTATTCCATATAATTCTGCGGTGAACATACTACAACTTTTAGGCAATCGCACAGAGCTTATTGTCGTCGTCAGCGTGGACACAGCGAAGCCGCAACAGCCTTCATTCTTGGACCCATCAGTGTATAAAATTTTATCAAATTGTGTTAAGTTGAGGATGTTTTGGAAGGTTTTTCTAAGAATTGAGTTTGGGGTTTCTGTTTTGTCGAATCTGCATAAATCCGTATTGAAAATTAGAAAATTGTGCATCCATGGAGCTGTCTTGGGGTATAAATAGAAGTAGTATTGGAAATGTTAATGGAATCTAATACAGGAGATAATATTTGTGATAATAAGAGAGACTGATTGGATGCGTTTGCTGAGGGGATTCTATGGGATTTAATAGATTTATTACCGGGTTCCTTGAGTTTGCTGATATTCCTACAAAGTATGAAAGTAGAAGCTGTTGCCTTCTTAGATGAAGTGGTGGCTCTGAAGATTCAACGCAAACACTTTCAGCGGGACTTGATCTGAAAGCACCATGGCATGGTCGTAGGGATGTATTTGGAATCGTGTTTAGAGACTTTAGTAGGAATGTACTAGATGCCATATAGAGGATACGGCCATAATCTAGCTTAGAACGAATTAACGCTCTATATATTTTAAGGAGAGATTCTTCATTAGCTCCCCAAGAGAAGCTAGCAAGAGATTTGAGTAAATTGATTCTTTGGGTACAGTTTCCTTTAAGTTTCTAAATAAGAAAATTGTCCTTGCTGTCTCCAGGTAAGCTTTTTATCAAAGGTGATACCAAGAAGTGTCAAATAATTTACTGTTTGTAAACGAAGTCCGTTTAGAATTATAGAAGGTGGATTAGGTCTATGCTTTTTGGTAAAGTGAATTACTTTGGATTTAGGAGCTTAAAACACAAATCCAGCACGCGTAGACCAGGTGTCTATTTTGTTTATTGCATTTTGTAACAAAGTGCTGGTGGTAGCTGTGACTCTACCTTGGCAGTATAATATAATATCATCAGCATATATCGAGTACCTGACTGGTGATTCTATATATGAGGAAAAGTCATTCATGTTAAGTAAAAATAAGGAAGTGCTTAAAACTGAGCCTTGAGGCAAACTATTGTCCAAAGCATGTAGTTTTTATATTTTTCCATTTTTTAATACTCTAAAATATTGATTTTGTTAAAAGTTTTTTTTAAAATAAATAAATATAACCAGTTAAATTATATTTCCTTAATTTTCTTAGAATTAGAGGTCTTTGTACAGTGTCGAAGGCACTTTGGATATCTAAAGCTACTGCTATGACTTCACTTCTATTCGAAAATGCGTTAAAAATGTCAGTGTGTAGTATGACCAGGTTATTCATTGTACTTTGATTTGATCTGAAGCCTGTTTGGAATGGGTCAAGAATATTATTTCTTTCTAGATACCATAATAAGCGTTTATTGACCATCTTTTCTAACAGTTTATATAGTGAAAAAGTAAGACAAATTGGTCTATATGAATTTAGAAGATTTGCATACAATAGGAATTGTAGTTGTTTATCGTCATAACTTGGGAACTGGTTTTAAAACCAGATCTCATTATATAACTCTAGCAGTTTCAGACGAGTGTCTGGATGAAGATTTTTTAAGAATATTGCTGGGATATAGTCAGTACTGGCTGCTGAGTTTTTTAGTGAAGATATGGCTTCGCTTAATTCTAGGAGATTAAAAGGAAGATTCATAGAGCTAATGTCAGAAAATATTTTAGGGCTGGATATGTTGGTATCTGAGTGATTGGGAATATTCGGAATGTTCGACTTATCTGAAAAGTGGGAGAACATCATTTGATAATCTATTGTTAACACAATTCAAAATAATATTTATATGTTATTAGCAACTCATTCTTGGAAAAAATAGTAATGCTAAAAATACCAAAACCAAGCCTCGGGATATGGATGGAACTAAAAGACGACGACAATGGCAACGAAAACGGACACTGATTTGTGGTACATGGAATACACAAGGAATTAGAAATAAAATCGAAGATGTTATCCAAGAAATGAAAAAACATAAAATGGATTTTGCTGTACTCTCAGAAACAAAGAAAAAAGGACAAGGAACCCAAAATCTTGATGGATATATACATATACACACGGGAGTTAATAAGGAAGAACATGCCAAAAGAGGAGTATCAATACTTATATTGAAGAAATACAAAAAGAATATATCGAACTGGCAAGCAATAAATGAAAGAATCATAAAGATCAACCTCAACTTGAAAGGATTAAAAATAACAATAATAGGCACATACGGTCCGAATGATGATGCACGCCTAGAAGAAAAAATAAAATAAAATAAGAGTATTTCGAGGAGCCGAATGTGGAAGTGACCACCATCTAGTAAAAGCTAAAATGATACTACCGCTAAGCGGAAACGGTAAACACCAACAAAACAAAAATCTAAATGAAAATCACTCAGCAGAAGGTGAACAACTGCAGTATAATCTAACAAGTTTAGACAACGATAGTACTAGAGAATTGTATAAAAAAAGATTGGAGCAACAACTACCACAGGAATTTAAACATAAAACAACAGAAGAGTTACATAGCATAATAAGAAAAGGAATACATCAAGCGGCCAAAGAAGCATTAGGAATAAGAGTAAACAAACTCAGAAAGACAAATAATTGGTGGAATAATGAACTACAGGAAATAAAAGACCAAAAGCAAAAATTATATCACAGATGGCTGGGAACAAAGGATCAAGAACACAAAAGAGAATATAGAGAAATGGTAAATAAATTTAAATCCACGATAATAGAGTCAAAAAATCAAAGCTGGGAGAGAAAATGTCAGGAATTAGATACGTATATTGGCGGCCGCAAATCAAGAGAATCCTGGAGATTTATAAAAAACATCAGATCCAACAGAACAGAACAAATAGCCATACACTCCATAGAGCCCGAAAAATGGGAAAAACACTATAAAACACTGTTAGTAGAAGAAAGACCGGAATTCAAAAACATAGAACAACATGAAATCCTGATTCAAGGAGAGCCTCCAACAATTAACTTCAAAGAAACTAAAAAAGCTATATCATTGTTGAAAAATGGACGTACTCCGGGCCCAGAGGGGATATATGCAGAGTTAATAAAAAATGGAACCAACAAACTATTCGAGATACTAACAGAAGTTTTCAATAGGCACTTGCACGGAGAACCAGTGCCACAAAGTTGGAAAGAAGGATGGATTACATCTATCCATAAAAAAGGAAATAAGGAAGATTGCAATAACTATCGGGGTATAACTGTTACGAGTACGCTTAGCAGATTATATGGGAGAATTATAAAAGAACGCATATGCGAAGAATACCGTCCTTTTGAATCAGAAGAACAAAACGGATTCAGAGCGGGACGATCCACAATAGATAGTATTTTTTCCTTATCCCAAATACTCGAGAAAAGAACACTGAGATCTCGAGAAGTGCATTTACTTTTAGTCGATTTAACAAAAGCATATGACACCGTGCCTGTTGCGAAATTGTGGGAAGTATTGGAGAAAACCAGTATCAGCGTTTCACTAATCGACGCTATTAAAGATCTATATAACAACACAATATCAAAAGTTAAAATAGGAAATAAGGTTACTAATGGTTTTCAGGTAACAAAAGGACTGAAGCAAGGTTGTTGTTTATCTCCCATACTATTTAATATATATATCGACAAAGCACTCAGGCAATGGAAAAAGAAGTGTAAAGGGATGGGGCTGTCTATTGGGGATGAAACGTTATACACGCTGCATTATGCAGATGACCAGGTAGTTATTGCCCAAGACAAGGAAGACCTAGAGTATATGGCTAGAAAACTAATGGAAGAGTACAAAAAATGGGGCCTTGAAGTAAATTTACAA